AGGGAAGATAGTTTCCTGAACTCCGTGCTTTCATTTCCCGTCACAAGTCAAATCCGTCATGTACCCAGAATGCATCGCATCAGTTTTCCAATAAACAGTTTTAAAATTACTTTATTGATGCTTCTTTAATGAAAAATCTACAACAAACAAAAGAAAAAGAAAAAGAAGCAGCCGAACTAGCAATCCTTAACAACTTTTTAATTTTTACACCAGGAGCTAAAGGTCTGTTTCAGGAAATCACATCCCCAGCAATCAGCAGTTGTAGGATTAAGCTGTAAAAGAGTTCATACACCGCTACTTGGCAGTGTTGTGCATATATTGTACATGAATTGTTGCCAGCTAGTAAGTGTCAAATTGAACTTGCGCTTTAAAATGAGCTTCCACCAGTTTTTCTATGGCATAAGRGCTTTCGAAGTTGCGGACCTAAATATTTTCATAAGCGCTTTAAAAATTGCGGTGCTAATTTTTGGATTAGTGCTGCCCACCGCTGCTTTTCAGCAAATTCTAAATTTAGGTGAAGTTACGCAGTAGAAGCATTTGTCAAACCGAGCGAGACGTAGCGTCTGTCTTGTGTTCAGCTGGTGGGGGTGGACGTCATGGCAGCTCTGGACCTTTATGCTGAGAAAGGCCAGTGGGACAAATGTCTGGAGACGGCGTCCAAACAGGTACAGAACCAGAACTGTTTGATTTAAGCTTTGACGCTGACGCTCAGTGAAATCTCTCTCTGTGTTCTTGCATACGGTTTTGGATTTGAGAGGATGTGAGTTTTTGTGTTTCTCTCAGAACTTTAAGATCCTCCATAAATACGTGGCTCTTTACGCCACTCATCTCATCAAAGAAGGAGCTGCTCTGAAGGCTCTGCAGCTCTACATCCAGCACGGAGCTCCCCCCAACCCTCAGGTAAACTCCTGTTTGTCCGAATCAAACCTTTTAAACGGGTCAAACAAACTGTTTCCTGTCATTTCTCTGTGTTTCTGATCAGAACTTTAACATCTACAAGCGCCTGTTCCTGGATCTGATCAACCTCCCCAACACCGCCGGGCCAGAGTCGTACCGCATGTGGGCCGACCTGCGAAACTTCCTGCTGCAGTTGGTAAAAAACACGACACTTCATCTCAGAGTTAGGCCTGTCACGATAACAAATTTTGCTGGGCGATTAATTGTCTCAAAATTTATTGCGATAAACGATAATATTGCCTGGTGACCGTTTTACAACTAATAATTATAAAAGC